GGTGACTCCCTGGTTTGCAGCCTGTGCTCAATTCACTGAGCCACACCAGCAAGGGCTAAAACCCTCTTACTCTTTAGTCATCAGTTCGTAGTTTACCCATTCCTCCAAGTCCAAGGCAACCACTTTTGTCTCAGTAGATTTGCTCATTCTGAATATTTCAATTTAGTGGAATCGTATAGTTTAGCTTTACACTTATGTTTAGTTTATTTCACTTATCGGAATGGTTACAGGTTTATTCATTTTTAGCATGTGTGAGCACTTAATTCTTTTTTATGGATCATATGGTAACTCTATATTTAACCTTTTGAGGAACTTCCAGAGCGTTTTCCACAGTGTCTGTGTTATTTTATATTGTCATCAGCAATGTATGAGGATTCTGATTTCTCTATATCCTTGCCAACACTTGTTATTATCTGACTTTTTGACTATAGCCATCCTAGTGGGTGTGAAAGTGGTATTTCCCTGTAGTTTGAATTTGCCTTTCTCTAATGACTAATGATATTGAGCATCTTTTATATATATATATTTTGGAGAACTACTTATTCAGATCCTTTGTCCATATTTTAATTGGGTTGTTTTCTTTTTGTTATTGAGCTGTGGGAATTCTTTATATATTCTAGATACATATCTCTTGTCAGATACATGATTTGCAAATATTTCCTCCCATTCTGGTGGTTATCTTTTTATTTGATTTTGTCCTTTGGTACTAAGAACCTGAGTTTTGTTGAAGTTCATCATACCTGTTTTTCTTTGATTGCTCCTGCTTTTGGTGTCATACTTAAAAATCCACTACCAGATCCAGGATCATAAAGATTTACTCCTAAAAAGAAGGGAAAGGGATTAACTCCTATATTTTTTCAAAGAGTTTCATTGTTCTAGCTCCTACATTTAGGTCTCTGATTCATTTGTATGTGGTGTGAGGTAGGTTCTCAACTTCATTTTTTTGCATGTGTAAATCCAGTTGTACCAGCACCATTTGTTGAAGAGACTATTCTTTTTTAAAGATTTTATTTATTTATCTTTAGAGGGGAAGGGAAGGAGAGAGGGAGAGAGATGTATGGTTGCCTCTTGTGGGTCCCCTGCTGGGAACTGGCCTGCAACCCAGGCATGTGCCCTGACTGGGAATCAAACTGAGGTTGTTTGGTTCACAGGCCCATGCTCAATCCACTGAGCTACACCAGCCAGGTCTGAAGAGACTATTCTTACCCCATTAAATTATGTTGGTACGTCTGTCAATCAGTTTACCATAGATATATAGGTTTGTTTTTAGATTCTTAATTTTCTTCTGTCGTCTTCTTTTGTCCTATATTACTAAATAGCTATTTGATTTGCATCAATCTTAAATACTAGAGGGACTCAATTATTATTATTTTTTAATTTTATTTAGTTATTTTTCAAGTACAGTTTTTTTTCAAGAATTTGTCTACTTTTAATTTTTTTTCCATTTTTGCAACAGCTATTCTTTTTTTTAATTTTATTTAGTTATTTTTCAAGTACATTTTTTTGTCTATTTTTCCCATCCCAGCCTCCCCCGCCCCTTGCTCCCCACCTCCCTCCCATTTCCACGCCCCTTAGTTCTCCTCCATGTGTCCTTCCTATTTATTCCTCCAAATCCCTCCCCTTTTTTTCCCTTAAATTCCCTTCCCTCTCCCCTCTGATCACTGTCCCCTTGTTCTCTATTTCAGTGTCTTTCTTTTTATTCTGCTTGCTTGTTTGTTTTGTTGTTTAGCTTCCTCTTAAAGGTGAGATCATATGGTATTTGTCTTTCAACACCTGGCCTATTTAACTCAGCATAATGCTTTCCAGTTCCATCCATGTTGTTGCAAAGGGTAGTAGCTCCTTCTTTCTCTCTGCTGCATAGAATTCCATTGTGTATATGTACCACAATGTTTTGATCCATTCATTTACTGAAGGGCACCTAGGTTGCTTCCAACTCTTGGCTATTGTAAATTGTGCTGCTATGAACATTGTGGTGCATAGGTTCTTTGAAATTGAAGTTTTAGGATTGTTAGGATATAATCCTAGCAGTGGAATTGCTGGGTCAAAAGGCAGGTCGATTTTTATTTTTCTGAGAAAATTCCATAGTGTTTTCCATAATGGTTGTACCAGTCTGCAATCCCACCAACAGTGAACTAAGGACCCCTTTTCCCCAACCTCTCCAACATTTGTTGTTTGTTGCTTTGTTTATGATAGCCATCCTGACCGGTGTAACCCCAGAGCAAGGAATATAAAGGAAAGAATAAACAAATGGGATCTCATCAAAATAAAAAGCTTCTGCGTGGCTAAAGAAAACAGTACTAAATTAAAAAGACAACCAACTGTATGGGAAAACATATTTGCCAATGATACCTCAGACAAAGGTTTAATCTCCAAAATATACAAAGAACTTACAAGACTCCACTCTAAGAAGTCATCTAACCCAATTAAAAAATGGGAAAAGGACTTGAACAGACACTTCTCCAAGGAGGACATACAGAATATCCAGAGACACATGAAGAGATGCTCAATATCACTAGCTATCAGAGAGATGCAAATTAAAACCACAATGAGATACCACTTTATACCGGTCAATTATTTTTATTACTGTTATCTTAAGTTGCTAAAAACTGTTTAAGCTGGAAAGCATTATGCTAAGTGAAATAAGCCAGGCAGTGAAAGACAAATACCATATGATCTCATCTTTAACAGGAACCTAAACAACAAAACAAACAGAAAATATAACCAAAGGCACTGAAATAGAGAACAGGCTGACAGTGAACAGAGGGAAGAGGGGAGGGAATTTCAGTGGAAAAGGGGAAGGGTTTACAGGAACAAGTATGAAGGACACATGGACAAAAATAAGGGGGGGTGTAAATGGGAGGGAGGTGGGGAGGGCTTGGAGGGTGGGTTGGGATGGGAATAAAAGGCAGAAAACTATACTTGAACAACAACTAAAATAAATAAATAAATAAACAGAAGTGCCAAAAGTAAAAGTCCTGCACCAGCTTTTTCTGCTGCTACTTGTAGGACTTTGTGTTTTTTGTTTTATTTTTAGAGATTTTATTTATTGATCTTTAGAGAGGAAGGGAAGGAAAGAAAGAGAAATATCAATGTATGGCTGCCTCTCGTGAGCCCTCTGCTGGAAACTGGCCTGCAACCCAGGCATGTGTCCTGACTGGGAATCAAACCGTGATCATGTGGTTCACAGGCCTGCGCTCAATCCACTGAGCTACACCAGCCAGGGCTAGGACTTTATGTTTTTTATGTAGCCTTTTAGACTTTCATATATGAACAGTTTCATACATGCATATATGCATAAATGTGAACATTCAAATGTATTTTCACATTTGTGAATGTACACACACATATATTGACATTTGTTTGTATGTTTATAATTTTTATAATTGTATATCTGTTTTTTGCAAAAATTGAGATATGCAGTGTCCTGTACTTTATAAATCAGCAGTATATCATATACATCCCTTTGTGACAGTTACGTCTTACCTCATTCTTTTTTATTTTTTAATTTTTAAAAAATTTTATTTATTTATTTTTAGATGGAGGGGAAGGGAGGGGGAAGGACAGAGAGAGAACATCAATGTGTGGTTGCCTCTCACATGCCCCACACTGGGGACCTGGTCCTCAACCTAGGCATGTGCCCTGACTGGGAATCAAACTGGTGACCTTTTGGTTCGCAGGCTGGCACTCAGTCCACTAAGCCACACCAGCCAGGGCAACATTCTTTTTTCAGACGTAAAAAAATAAAAAAATTTTTTCTATCCTCACCCAAGGACAATTTCATTGATTTTATAGAGAGGAGAAGGGTAGGAAAGAAATATCAGTTTGAGAAACATCGCCTCTCACATGTGCCCTGGTTGGGGACTGAACCCACAACTTAGGCATGTGCCTGAGGAATTAGGAATTAAACCAGTGATGTTCTGGTTTATGGAATGATGCTCCAACCAATAGAGCCATACCAGCCAGGGCATCTCATTCTTTCTTAATGGTTTCATAATATATCAGAGCAGGTATATATCATCATTTCTTTAATGAGTTCTCTATTGCTACATATTTACATTGTTTTCTCCCCCCCCCCATTTTAATGCTGCTGAATACATGTGGGAACACTTTTCTCAAATGGATACCTGAAAGTGGAATTACTCATTGGGATTTTTGTCTTAAAGTAATTTTTACATTTCCCCCTAACTGTGCTTTATGATGCTTTGCACATATTAGGCAGTTAATTAATACTTACAGAAGTGAACACTTAAGGGTTTTCATTCTGCATTTATCCTTAGCTTGCTATTTCATTTTAATAAGCTGTTTAATGACGCCCTCATGCCTATTTCACTTCCTTTAAAATGAATGAAAGTTTTGGTGATCCAGTCTTCATTAGAAAGAACTAAGGTAAAATGAGTATGTGTGGCACTGGGGAATATACAAAGTTGAGTAAGAGGAGACCCCAGCCTTCTAGATATTTACAAACCAGTAGGATGAGGCAGATAGGATGTTTGGTATGTGTGTCCCTAAGAGGCACACATGAGTCTTAAAAGGAACAGGAGAAATGCTACTTCACTTGGTTGCTAACAGGGAAGATTCTCCAGAGGGGGGGTCATGGAGATGCCCTTAAAGGAAAGATAAAATTTGGGCAGTTGAAGGCATACAAGAAGTGGGGATCTGCTGGTGCTTCTTGATGGAAGAAGAGCATAATGAGTTCAGAGGGGGTGAGAAAAATGAGAACTCAGGTTTCACTTGTTCATATGCAGGCAGGGAGCAGCAGGTGATGAAGCTAGAAAAACAGCAAGGAACCTGCTGTGGTCAACCTGGAATCCAGACAGAGGTTTGGCACTAATCTGATAGGCACTGGGCCATTACAAGAAGTTTGGAATGGAATTGTGTTATTGGAGTTGGTCTTGAGGATGTGGTGTCAGTGGTCAGTCTAGAGCATGGTTAAAGGCTAATCCTCATTTACAGAGGTTTCTATGGTATAACTTTTTCCCATTCCTCAATTCTTCCCTTAGCTTTCTGAAAATGTGGTTAACTGCATGAAAGATTCCAACCAGCCTTCCAAAGTGGGCCAGCTGACTTTCCCTCCTGCTCCTCTACATTATGCACCTCTAAAGGCCTGGAGAAAGGTACGGCATGTTGTAGTGATTCTGTGGAAAGCTGGATTAGAGTGTGAAAGGAATGATAAACCATGTTCCTTGCAGAACATGTTTAACAGCTAATGTGACTCCTGGTTGTTTTGGGGAGATATGAACAACTCCTTTCCGATAACTGCTTTTGAGGAGAGTGTGGCTTCCGTGCATGACAGATGCTGTCTGCTATAACGAGAACAGCACAGGTTAGTCAGAGCTTCTGTGATTGGGGCTAAACTGTTTTAGTTTTAAACTGTTTTAAACAGAAAACTGTTTCAGTTTTTCTATATGTAAAAATGAGGCAAAAGGGCTTGGTTTGACAACTCCTATAAGAAGTTGCTTTTAAGGATTCATAAGCAAAACATAATTATTAATGTTAGTATGGTCCAAAGAATGGTAGAGATGTATGTGAATTGGGACAATTAGCAGGAATTGAGTAAGTGATTCTGGCATCAACCTCAGCAACTCCACCCTAGCCCACACATCGTGGTTCTGGCCTGGGCTTCTGGGGGTGCCTTTGATCCTATACCTCCCAGGAGTTCTTCTTCATGCACCCATGCCATGCAGAGGTCTAATCTGATTTGTTCACTACTGTTTCTTGCCTATCACAAATGAAGAAATTTGTGCTTTTCTCTAAATAACTACTTTCAGCAAACACAAAGGAACAAAAAAAGTTTAAGAAAGGAGGTATAAGGTATGAAAATGTTAAGATATTACGAACTACAAAAGTCTTGGGGCAATTGCTGTTCATGAGAACCTGGGTCTTAGCTATGACTTGTAACTTGATGTGTACTTTTTCACCAATTGACTGGAGGAGCCATGGCACTATGGAGTATAAACTCTGTCTCACCATGGATAACTGTTCTTTGTACTGTATGTGGTCTTACATTAGAGTTGTCTTTTCTGATGATCCTTCCTATTAGGTTAGAAAATTATAGAAGGCAAGAATGATACCCTGTCTATTCAGCATTTACTGAAAGCTAGCCAGAGATCAGGGCATGTGCCTTGTTCTGAGACACAGCGGCAGGTATAAAGAGACACCATTCTATGGCACCCGTTGCTCTAGTTAAGGAGCCAAATACACATCTAACCCTGTAGGTCACATTTTTCATGTGATGCTGCAACATTACATGCATGCCCAAAGTCTCAGGCAGAGGAGTGAGTGACACTATTTCAGGGCTGGGCTCCCAGGAAGGCTGACTTTTGAACTGGATTTTGAAAGTGAGAGCAGTGGTAGACAGGTGGTTCAGGCATGGTGAATAGCATCAGCAGAGCAGGTGCAGCCTGGCCAGTGTGGACCTCAAAGCAGTTTGCTATCTCTAGAGTACAAGTAGGAAAGAGGAGGTGTCAGGGCTATGCTCAGGGGCTAGGTCCTGGAGACCTCTACACAGTGATGAGAGAGCTTTGGCTTCATCCTTGTGGCCAGAGTGCCAGCCAGGCCTTCTACATCTCTCTCTCTGTATTTTCTGCTTGAGAGCTTCCTGAGCTTTAGGGAAAATCAGTGCCTGTATTTGGACCCATCCCAAGATCTTTTAGAATATTCTATTAGGGAAGGGGCTGAGTGAGGCTCTCAAAACCCACACAAGATGCCCCCATCCTTTATTATAAAAGCTAGGTCCCATGATTTGTCTAGCTTTGAAGTGGATCTAATGTAACCCAGGGCACTTTAATAAGCTGCATTAACTGGTGAGAGGGAGAAGTAATGAAAAGACAAAAGCTGCCAAAATATATTTTGCACACATCAGTTTCAGCTTTGGAAGATAAAAGAGGCACTTATTGTGGTTTTGGTAAGTGTCAATAGTTTAAGAAGCAAAAATTATGGTTCTTTTGTCATTTGGTTTTAGTTATAATAAAGTTTTTTTTGTTTGTTTAAATAATGAGTGTGAGTTTTGAGTTTCCGAATGCTAAAGAATAGTCAGCTGTGGGAGCAACTTCTCCCGAGTCCCCCCGAGTGCCACGGACACGAGTGAATGAATATGGCCGAGACATGCTGTGATCTGCTTGGGGAGGAGAAGTGGGCTGTGGCTAGTTTCTCAGGGGAGACAAAGGCCAGCAGTGGCCAGTTTCTCTGAGGAGAAAAAGGCCCCGAGCTTCCTGCTCCAGGGCTTTTACTGGGTTGTAATACACAGGAATATAGGGCGGCAAGGATCAAACAGTTGATACCATTTCAAAGAAATCTAAGGGCTTAGTCTGAGTGAGTGTCTGTCAGGAAGAGAGTTGCAGAAACTTTGGGAGCCATACTCATTTCCTCTCAGACCCTTATCATATGAATGAAAGCACTCTTAGCAGAGCAGATTTCCCAGGTTTATCAGCAAATCTTTGTGATGCCAGATTTTTTTCCCCAGGACATGCTCTAGCAAGGCAAGGAGCTGCACCTGTCCCCAACAGATATTCAGGCTTAAGGGGATTAGAGCCAGGAAGCATTTCTCCCAGAGAACATGGGGACTCCAGCTATGTCAAAGCCAGGGGGCAAGAGTCCACTGCTCTTTGTTGCAGCCCCCTCCCCCAGTCCTTCCATGAAGGCCTCCCAGGTGATCTAGTCTGGCTTAGGTTGCACCCCGCTGTGAGGGGTCTTACCTGTCATTGACTTCCGACCAAGCTTTGGGGGTAGGGAGAGGAAACCGAGGCAGTATTTGCTACCAGAGACAAGCTTTGTCTCCTGCGGCTGGCACTCTAGAGGTCAGCTCTCTCTCTTAGCCACAACGGGTAGAGATACAATTCCTAAAACTAGGCAGAGTGGTCTATAACAGTCAGCATAAGTGGACTGTCTTGGAGTTAACTAATTTTAAAATATTTTTCCTTTTAAAACTAGTGCTTGCTTTTATTTTAATGATAGAAACTAATTAGAAAAAAAAGTTAAAATTAAATTCTTATGTTACACTATACTTCAAAATAAATGTGAGGCATTATAAGATTTAAATTTAAGAATTGAAGCTATAAAAATGTACACAAGTACATAAAAGCACAATAAGTAGACTTTCTAAACTTCACATCAAATGAAGAAATCCTAAATTATGAAAAAAGTAGGTACTGAAGCTATAAGAAATTAGAGATAATTAAAAATAAATGAAGAATGAATAATAAACTAGGGAACTGTAACGTGACAGTATTGGTAATCTTAATACATACAGAGTTCTTAAAAGATTCTTTTTTTAAGTATTTTTTCCCAACCCAGCTCACCCCCTTAGTGCTCCCCACAAAAGATTCTTAATGCAAATGTACAGAAATGGTCATATACATGTGATGAGATTACAACTTCACTAACGATTAGACACATATTAAAAAATGAGGAGTACAAGGGGGCAGGGAAATGGGTAGGCTCATACATAGAAGGTGGGAGTGTGGATTAGTGTTACTTTCTCTACAATAGATTTATATGTTTGATACATTATTTTTATAGCAATAAAAGGAGAATTGTATAAAAAGCAAAAATAGGATAAATTATACCTCAATAAAACTGTCATAAGCAAATAAGTAAGTTCAGGGAGCATGAATGTCAAAATAAGAACTAGTCAGCAGTATACTATTTTTTATTCCTAGTTGAGAACCTATCATGTTACTATGCAGCATATAGGTGTGCCTTGCAGGCTGAAGCACTGATGGGCCCATCCTTCCACAGGGGGTCTGAAAGTGGGAATCATAGGATGATTACTTTTGGAAATGACTCCCTGAAGGCTGAGTGCTCCAGCCTGTGAGTGCAGCATTCTTTGAAAGGTCTTGGGATTGGAATAGCAAATCTTCATGTATTCTTTTACAAATTCTGGTTCTTCTATAACATTTTATGCAATTCTAGTAGCTGCCACTTTAGAAGCCTATGATGGAGGTGTAGGACATTTGGCCAAGGCCACAAAAAAGTGTTGAAATTTGGCTGGGAGATAGGAAGGGTAAAGGCTGGGGGAAGGAGGAGAACAAAACATTCTAAATCACCAAGTGGTGTGGAGAATTAGAGTGAATTGGATTTGCTCAGAAATCTCCAAGTTCATGACTATGAAAAGGTAGACTGACTGTAACAATTTAAAGAACCCAATAATACTAGAGGTTGATTCAGGTTAATTGATATATAAAATACCATTGATAGGGAGTGTTTGCCATATTCAGGATTAGAAATTCATAGAATGGGGTACTAAGAGAAGCAATATTTAAGCAACCTCTTTCCCCCATGTCAAAACTGCGACCCCAGAGGCTATCCTTTTAGCATGAAGCATGAAGTGGTCCTTCAGCTGTTCCTGGCCTGTGTTTCGTAGATGACCTAGATTCCAGGTGATTGTAGAATGAGTTTGGATAAATTTGAACACTGTACTCAAGTAGTTCTGCCCACTGCCAGTCCTGTGTAGTTGGAGGTTCTGGTCCAGAATGAGGGGGTGCAAGGTCTTTAGGCTGTTCCTCTCCAGATTAACTGGATCAAGGATGTATTCTGTGTTCATCCCTGGGGTGTGTCCCTCCTTGGGAATGTATTCCTGAGTTCCTTTCCTAGATGACTGCAGTGTCTTCCTTTGTCCTCTGGTGCTACTGACAGGTCTTTTCTTTTTCTCCCTTTGTATACTACAAACTGCCCAGGTCAGAGTGTGATGGTAGACAGCTACCCCCAGAGGTGGAGGAGGATCTCTTTAAGAGGTGAGTGTGAGTGCCCACTCGCCCCAGCTCTGTGCTGTAGCTGAATGCTCTTTCCTCACTGGGGCCCTTTCCCTAGCCTGAAGGCCATAGGTTTATCTCACATATTTTGTCGTAGTTAGATTGCACAGCAATACTGTGGCATAGGTGGTACTAGCCCTATGAAGAAATACTTGTGGTATAGGTGGTACTAGCATAGGTGGTACTAGCCCTAGTTTAAAGATGAGGAAACATGAAAAGGAGAATGTGGGAGTTGATTGCTAATGTTTTCAAAAATTCATTTGAAAACATCAGGACTAAATAGTTTAGTGTCTGGACCTTCTTTGCCTGTGTGTGTGCAGGCATATTTTTAGAGATATGAAGAAGAAAGTGGAGTCATTAGAATTCTAGCTGTAGTTGGTGAAATGGACTTAGCTCCAGGATGTTGGTGACCTTCCATCAGCATAGGCCAAAACACTGGAGAGCTGTCCATACATCTGAACTGGGATCTGCTTCACCTCCTGAGTCTTGTATAGTAGAGGTTAAGGCATAGAGGCTTTCGTGGAGTACAGGTTTACATACTGATTTGTGACTTCCTGGTAATGTGACCCTGGAAAATTATTGCATCTTTCTAGGCCTCTGAGAAGACACAAATCAAGTACCTCTTCATTGGTTTTGCCCTGATTAAATATGTTAATGCATATAAAGTACACACAGTGCCTGGTACACAGATTTCTCAGTGAATGCTAACTGTAGTTGTTACTGATTGACATCTTCAAACCCTTGAAGACACTGGCCTCTGTGGCAAAGGTCCAAATGAGTTTGTTTAGGGGTGTGCAGTGTCAGCTACAGTTGGTTTTCTCCCTCTAGTAGGTCAGCCATGTGTGTCTCTTCCATAGCCATAGATTAATCCACATGCTAAGAATTTCACCTCCATCATCTAAGAGGCCTCTCCAAGAATAACTAACACTTGAACACTTTTTTATACCTTTAAACAGTTAAAAAAGATCAAATAATACATGCTAATGAAAACATATAAAATGAAATATCATCCATAGATTCATCATTAAAAGACAACCATTGTTAATATTTGGAGTGTTCTTTCAAATGTGCCTTTTCCCTAGTTTAGGATGATTTTTTCTGGTCATATATAATTTTATATTTTGCTCTTTTTACTTAGTATTATAATTTTTTCTATTTGTTACACCTTCTTATAAACATTTTTATTGCTAAAAAGTAGTTTTTTGCCCTCAATTTTTAGATTTACTCTATAGACAAGTCAAATAATATATTTTCTAATGACAATGTAATATATCATTGTGTGATTATACCAGATGGTTTTTTAAAACTGTATTTAGTTATTTTTCAAGTACAGTTTTCTGTCTATTACTCCCATCCCAGCCGACCCCACCCCGTGCTCCCCACCTCCCTCCATTTCCGTCCCCCCTAATTATTGTCCCTGTGTCCTTCATACTTGTTCCGCCAAATCCCTCCCCTTTTTTTCCCCTTAAATTCCCTCCCCTCTCTCCTCTGGTCACTGTCCCCTTGTTCTCTATTTCAGTGTCTTTGTCTTTATTTTGTTTGCTCGTTTGTTTTGTTGTTTAGCTGCCTGTTAAAGGCGAGATCATATGGTATTTGTCTTTCAATGCCTGGCCTATTTCACTCAGCATAATGCTTTCCAGTTCCATCCATGTTGTTGCAAAGGGTAGTAGCTCCTTCTTTCTCTCTGCTGCATAGAATTCCATTGTGTATATGTACCACAATTTTTTGATCCATACATTTACTGACGGGCACCTAGATTGCTTCCAACTCTTGGCTATTGTAAATTGTGCTGCTATGAACATTGTGCTGCATAGGTTCTTTGAAATTGAAGTTTTAGGATTCTTAGCATATAATCCTAGCAGTGGAATTGCTGGGTCTAAAGACAGGTCAATTTTTATTTTTCTGAGAAAATACCATAGTGTTTTCCAGAGTGGTTATACCAGTCTGCAACCCCACCAACAGTGAACTAAGGTCCCCTTTTCCCTACAACCTCTCCAACATTTGTTGTTTGTTGCTTTTTTTATGATAGCAGTCCTGACTGGTATAAAGTGGTATTTCATTGTGGTTTTAATTTGCATCTCTCTGATGGCTAGTGATATTGAGCATCTCTTCATGTGTCTCTGGATATTCTGTTTGTCTTCCTTGGAGAAGTGTCTGTTCAAGTCTTTTTCCCATTTTCTAATTGGGTTGATTGTCTTCTTAGAGTGCAGTCATGTGAATTCTTTGTATATTTTTGAGAATAAACTTTTGTCTGAGGTATCATTGGCAAATATGTTTTCCCATAGAGTTGGTTGTCTTTTTAATTTAATACTGTTTTCTTTAGCCATGCAGAAGCTTTTTATTTTGATGAGATCCCATTTGTTTATTCTTTCCTTTATATTCCTTGCTCTAGGGGACATATCAGTAAAAATGTTGCTGCGTGGAATATCTGAGATTTTCTTGCCAATGTTCTCCTCTAGGACTTTAATGGTGTCATGGCTTATATTTAAGTCGTTTATCCAACTTGAATTTATTTTGGTATATGATGTAAGTTGGAGCTCAAGTTTCATTTTTTTGCATGTAGCTGTCCAGTTCTCCCAACACTGTTTGTTGAAGAGGCTATCTTTACTCCATTTTATGTTACTGCCCCCTTTGTCAAATATGAATCGCCTGTAGAGAGTTGGGTTTATTTCTGGGCTCTCTTTTCTGTTCCATTGGTCTATGTGCCTGTTTTTATGCCAGTACCAGGCTGTTTTGATTACATTGGCCTTGTAATACAGTTTAATATCAGGTATTGTGATTCCTCCTACTTTGTTCTTCTTTCTTTAAAATTGCAGCTGCTTTTGGGGTCATTTATGGTTCCATATAAATTTTTGAAGTGTTTGTTCTATGTCTGTGAAATATGCCATTGGTACTTTAATGGGTATTGCATTGAATCTGTAAATTGATTTGGGTACTATGGACATTTTGATGATGTTAATTCTTCCAATCCATGAACATGGTATATGTTTCCATTTGCTTGTGTCTTCCTTGATTTTTTTCTTCAGTGTTGTGTAGTTTTCTGCATACAGGTCTTTAACCTCCTTAGTTAGGTTTATTCCCAGATATTTTATTTTTGTTTTTGCTATATCGAATGGGATTTTTCCCTTGATTTCTGCTTCTGCTGATTCATAGTTGGTATACAAAAATGCCTTTGATTTCTGGATATTGACTTTGTAGCCTGCTGTTTTGCCAAATTCATTAATTAGTTTGAGTAGTTTTTTGGCAGAGTCTATAGGATTTTCGATGTACAATATCATGTCATCTGCAAACAGTGACAGTTTCATTTCCTCCTTTCCTATTTGGATGCTTTTTATTTCCTTTTCTTGCCTGATCACTGTGGCTAAAACTTCCAATACTATATTGAATAGAAGTGGTGAAAGTGGACATCCTTGTCTTGTTCCTGATCTTAGTGGAAAAGCTTTTAGTTTTTGCCCATTGAGTATGATGTTGGCTGTAGGTTTCTCATATATGGCCTTTATTATATTGAGGAATGCTCCCTCTATTCCCACTTTGCTGAGTGTTTTTATCATAAATGGGTGTTGTACTTTATCAAAAGCTTTTTCCACGTCTGTTGATATGATCATTTGGTTTTTGTCTTTGCTTCTGTTTATGTGATATATTACATTTACTGATTTGCGAATATTGAACCATCCTTGCATCCCTGGGATGAATCCCACTTGGTCATGGTGTATGATCTTTTTGGTATATTGTTGGATGCAATTTGCCAATGTTTTGTTGAAGATTTTAGCATCTATGTTCATCAGTGTTATTGGTCTGAAGTTTTCTTTCTTTGTTGTATCTCCAACTGGTTTGGGGATTAAGATGATGCTGGCTTCATAAAAAGAATTTGGGAGTTTTCCATCCTTCTGGATTGTTTGGAATAGTCTGTGAAGAATAGGGGTTAGCTCTTCCTTAAGTGCTTTGTAGAATTTTTCTGTGAAACCATCTGGTCCAGGGGTTTTGTGTGATGGGAGTTTCTTGATTAGTGCTTCAATTTCTTTTGCTGTTATTGGTGTGTTCAGATTTTTCTGCTTCTTTTTCATTGAGTTTTGGAAGATTATATTTTTCTAAAAATTTGTCCATTTCCCCTAGGTTTTCAAATTTCTTGGCATACAATTCTTCATAGTAATTTCTTACAATCCCTTCTATTTCTGTGGTATCAGTTGTAATTTCTCCTGTTTCATTTCTGATTGTGTTTATTTGAGTCCTCTCTCTTCTTTTCTTGATGAGCCTACTTAAAGGCTTGTCTATTTTGTTTATCTTCTCAAAGAACCAACCTCTGGATTCATTGATCCTTAGAATTGTGCTTTTAGTCTCTATGTCATTTAGTTCTGCTCTGATCTTGGTTATTTCCTTCCTCCTGCTTGCTCTGGGCTGTCTTTCTTGTTGTTCCTTGAGCTCCTGCGGATGTAGGGTTAGGTTGTTTGTTTGAAATGTTTCTATCTTCTTTAGGTAAGCCTGTATTGCTATGAACTTCCCTCTCAGGACTGCCTTTGCTGTGTCCCATAAGTTTCGGATTATTGTGAGTTCATTTTCATTTGTTTCCAGAATCGTTTTGATTTCTTCTCTAATTGCATCCTTGACCCATTCGTTGTTTAATAGCATACCATTCAGTCTCCATGATTTTGGGTGCTTTGGGCTTTTTTCTTTGGGGTTGGTTTCCAATTTCAGTCCCTTGTGGTCAGAGAAGATGCTTGGTATGATTTCAATTTTCTTGAATTTTTTCAGGCTCGTTTTGTGTCCTAACATGTGGTCTATCTTTGAAAATGTTCCATGTGCATTTGAAAACAATGTGTATTTAGCTTCTTTGGTATGAAGGGCTCTATATATATCAGTTAAGTCCATTTCATCTAGGGTGTTGTTTAATGCTGCAATATCTTTGTTGATATTTTGTTTGGAAGATCTGTCCATTTTTTATAGTGTGGTGTTAAAATCCCCTACTATAATTGTGTTGCTGTCAATATTTTTCTTAAAGTCCTCTAAGATTTTCTTGATGCTTCTATGCTCCATTTGATGCTCCTATGTCTGGTGCATATATGTTTACGATGTTAATGTCTTTTTGGTGGATTCTTCCCTTGAGTATTATGAAGTGACCTTCTGGGTCTCTCTCTAAGGCCCTTTTTTAAAATTTTTTTAATTGATTATGCTGTTACAATTGTCCTATTCCCCCCTTCATTCCCCTCCACCCTACCCCCCCAACCCCACCATTACCCCCCCTTTAGTTTATGACCATGTGTCTCAAGTCCTTTAGATTCTATATTTCCCATGCTATTCTTGCCCCCCCTTCTATTTTCTATCTACTGTCTATGCTACTTATTTTCTGTACCTTCTCCCCCCATCTCCTCCTCCCACTCCCCTGTTGCTAACCCTCCTTGAGATCTTCATTTCTATGTTTCCACTCCTGATCTAGCTGTCCTTTTAATTTGCTTTCATTTTATAAGGCCCTTTTTTTTTGAAGTCTATTTTGTCTGATATGAGAATTGCTACCCCAGCTTTTTTTTCTTGTCTGTTTGCTTGGAAAATTTGTTTCCAGCCTTTCACTTTTAGTCTGTGATGGTCTTTTTTCCTGAGGTGGGTCTCTTTTAGGCAGCATATGTGTGGGTCATGCTTTCTTATTCATGCAGCTATTCTGTGTCTTTTCATTGGAGCATTTAATCTGTTTATGTTTAGGTTATTATTGATAGGTACTTATTCATTGCCAGTTTTGTACCTGTGTTCCTCTCTGTCTCTCTCTTTTCCTTCCTTTCCTTAAAGCAGTCCTTTTAGTATTTCTTGTAGGACTGGTTTGGTGGAGGCATATTCTTTTAGACTTCTTTCGTCTTGGAAATTCTTTATTTTGCCTTCTATCTTGATTGAATGCCTTGGGTAAAGTAGCCTTGGTTGTAGGCCTCTGTTTCTCATTACTTGGAATATTTCTTGCCATTCTCTTCTTGCTTGGAGTGTTTCCATTGAGAAGTCAGTAGCTATCCTTATTGGGGCTCCCTTGTATGTTACTTCTTTTTTCTCCCTTGCTGCCTTTTAGATTCTCTCTTTGTCTTGGAATTTTGCCATTTAAATGATGATGTGTCTTGAAGTGGGCCTCTTTGGGCTCCTCTTTATTAGGACTCTGTGTGTTTCCTGGATTCGTGTGACCTTTTCTCTCATCAAATTAGGGAAATTTTCTCTCATTACTCGTTCAAATACATTTTCTATCCCTTGTTCTTCTTCTCCTTCTGGTATTCCTATTATTCGGATATTATTACGTTTCATATTGTATTGCAATTCTCTTAATCCCTCTTTATTCTTTCTGAGCCTCTTTTCATTTTCTTGCTCTTTCTGTGAGATGTTTTCTACTTTGTCCTTCAACTCGGTAATCTGATCCTCCCCCTCATCAATTCTAATTTTGAAACTTTCTAGTGTGTTTCAATTTGGAAATTGTATTCTTCATTTCCTCTTGTCTCTTGCTGATAGTTTCTATTTCCTTTTTCATGTTGATATAGTTTGTGGTGAGATCATTGTAGTTCCCTTATAGTTTCTGGTAGCTCATTGTGAGCTTTTTGAACTTCATGATAACCAGTGCTTGAATGTACTATCTGATAGTTGATTAGCCTCTATTTCATCTAACATTCTTTCTGAAGCTGCTGCTTTTTCTTTCATTTGGGGATTGTTTCTTTTCTTCCCATTGTTTTTGAGACTCTTCTTGTTAATCTCAGCTTCTAAAATTGATCTGTTCTAACTCTCTGGATTTATGGTGTGAATTTCTGTGGTATTATACCTGTGAAGTTCAGTCGTGCAGACTCCTTCAGGTATCTTGATGTTCTCTGTTTCCACGTACTCCTTTTTTCATGTGTGTATAATCAGTTGGAGGGGGAGGCAAAATGGTTTATTACAGCAGAAGAGTATTTTATGATATTCACAGTCACAGCCAGTAGAGAGGAGGTAGGCAATCTTTAGGCTATATATAGTGTTAACCATATTCTTCAACCCAACTTGCCTCTTTTACAAAAGGATTGACAAAAGATAAGCTTCTTTTTGGATAGGGAAGTCTTGTGAGTTGGAACTAGAAAGCAGTGAGGTTTCAGATGGTCATATTTTGAGGAGAGGTGAGAGTAAGGAACAGTAAATAGGTATAGTATGTGAGCATATAGTGTTAATTACTACAGTAATAGAATTCAGGGACCTGTATAATGGGCTAAGATCCGGGAGATGTTTTGTGAAGTATTTACAGTTGTATAGGACAGCTATTATTTACACTAATATTAGAGCAGCAACCATATAACAAACTCTATGTGATCTGTCTGAGTAGGGGGTAGAGAGCTTTGGGTAGTGTGCTAAAGGAAAACAAGTGTTGTGGAGTATAGAAGATTAGCAAAACACTGTGGAGGAAAGAACAGGGGAAACCTGTCTAATAATACAATATAACCACTCAAGACTAAGGGGGCTATACAGAAAGAGGAGGAATACAGAGATACTATCAAAATATAAAAGAAGTGAGAATAATGAAAAAATATGCAGCAACTCGTGGCTTCTCTGCTATAGCAAAGTGAAATTTGTCTCACTGTTTCTATTGTTGAGATGCCCCCTCTTTGGGTCCCACTCTGGTCCTTTTCGCAGTTCCCAGTTTGTGTCTCTTGTGAGTAAAAGAAAACAAAGCAACAAATGAACAAACAAACAGGCAGGAGAAGGGAGGCAAAAGTGGTAAGTTTGAGAGGAAAGGAAGAAGAACTAAAACAGGGAAAACGAAAGGAGAGGAACAAAGTATAGACAGATAAAGCAATAATAAAATTTAAAAAAATATATGATTGCTAAAAAAAAAAAGGAAAAAAAACAATAACAAAATAATCCTTCCCTTGTTCGTTTCAAACTGTCTAGACCAGTTTTTCTGGTTGCAGCAGGATCTCTCTGTGTGCAGGGATGCTGGAGCAAGCACACGCACCACCCAGGCTACCAGACTAGGGTGTGGGCGCCCGCACACAGGTCCGGCTGTTTAGTCCCACAGGTTCTGGCAGGGTCCTTCCCAATTCTGTGGCGGGACTCAACAGCTTCTGTGCCTATGCGCACCCCCCAGGCTGCCTGGGTCCTGAGAAACCTGGCAAGGTGCTTCCCAGTCATGTGGCGGAGACTCAAATGCCTCTGCTTCGCCCCTGGATCACCACAAGGCTGGGTGGGGAGCAAGCCGAGCTTTCGTGGCAGGAGAACACCTCAGTCCACTTTAAAAAAAAAACACAAAAAAAACCCTCTCCAGACAGCCTGCCTCTCAGCCCAGCCCAATCCCCAGCCAGACCAGTGATGACAATTCACCTCTCAAATCTCCTGGGCTGGCGACCACAGAGTCTGCAGTTGAACAGGCCCCTCTGTCTTTGTAACCCTCCCTGTTAATGCAAGCAGGCAAGCAGACAGGTCTCTGCCTGGTGTTGTCCAGACTTGCTTAGACGGAGAGTAGAGGAGTCACTGGCCCATGCTGGTCACCCACTGGGGCCGCTGGGTGCCCAGGCTCCTGTGGCAGACACCTCTGGCACTGGTCTCAGACTGATGCCTCTGGACCCTGACCGCAGAAGCAGCACCAGGGCCACCTGGCCCGGGGTGCCAGCTCCCCGCCTCCACTTTGTCTTTACTCTGGTCCCCGAGACCCCACTGACCTGCCACTGTCTGGTGTTTCAGCGTCTGTCACAATCTCTGGTATTTTAATTTCATAAATGCTGGGTAACCGATGGTTTATTGTGCTGATTCTGTGTAGATCTGCCAGGATTTTTACCCACAAGTACAGGAGCTAGAATCTGCTCCGTCCTACTCCGTTGCCATCTTCCCAGCATCCTCCAGATGTTTTTTAACTTGATCTTAATTGCTGGACATTATAGTTGTTTGCATTTTTTACACTATAATGAATAATACTACTAAGATCATCTTAGTACTAGTAACTGTTTTCTCTCTTTAGGATTATTTTACTGGGCAGAAAGCACAGAAATAGGTCAAAGATTAAGGATGAAGAGTTATCTGTGTTCAGGAAAAAGATAGTTGTACTATATAAAAACCTTCAAGCTCTCAAATAGAGGCAGGGAAGGTAGGCTTCTCCATTCTTCCTACTCATTTTGAAAGAGTTGCTAGTGAGGAATTGAAACTCTGCCCCAAGAATCTCTATTTTGCCAGGTGGCTGCGAGATTCCTTACCTAGTTGTTAGCTTTCCTTCTTTTCCTAATGTATACTATTCTAGTTGAGAAAGTTTCAGCTCTTTCCCCTTGCCTTGAGGACTGCCACTGATGCCTGACATCAGAGGGGTCAGACAGTATGGGGTTTCACAGTATTCTCTCTGGCCAGCCTCAGGTTCTACTGGCCTGCACATCCCAGTCCCCCAACCAGATGAAATGAGTGCACAAACTTTTTCCTGGCTACCTGCTGTCACGTCATTACCTCTGCACCTGCATCTCCCATGTCTTTCCTGGCACAGGTATAAATAGGAGCAGGCTGTAGTCCAGGATGAGCTACTCTAGGTGGTGACAAGGGAAAGAGAGGCAGCCATAAAGTACCAGAGTGCATTTCTGCATCGAGGGGAGGGCAGTGTTGACCAGGAAAAGCAGAAGTCAGCCATGCTGGTGAGTGCAGATCTTCCTGAGCTGGCCTTTCATGCTTTTACAATGCAGGGAAGAAGAGGTCAGGCCTGATTGGTCTGAAGCCTGGGGCACAGGCTGCCCATTGGATGTCCTCCAAGTCACCTTTGTAGAAAGAATGTTTTTTTAGGGAGTAGAAACTTGGTCCTTTTAAATCTGGTACTGATATGCTTTGCTACCTTTGGCATGTTTTCTGTCTCTGCAGAATTTCAGGTCTATAGAGCTGGATCATTTGAAGACCTGGTCCTGCTCTGAAACTTAAGAGTTATAAGTGCTTCAGTGGTATGTGTGCTGCTAGGAGTGTGTGAAGGGAGAGGACTGGGGCTTGGAGCCATGCAGTAAGTAAGATGTTAGATTTGTAGAATTAGACAGCCCATGTGTGAATCTTAGCTCCCTACTTGTTAGCATGGGCACATCCTCTAGTGTCTATCAGCTTTGGTCAGGGGTTAGGATGTTTGCACACAGTATTACCCAAGGGATCATTGGAGGTGATAAGTAACTCTGAAGGTCATAGCCATTGCTGGCAGCTCATGAATGTGTGCTATTGTTGCTATTATTGTTATTAGTATACTTAACCAATGGGAGTCTCTTAGTTAGGAGTCATTCTGCTATAACTGCATGGATGTTCAAAGTGTGCAGTAGTCACACAAGAAATGTTGTTGAAGTGAGATGAACTGTTGAACTGGGCATTTTCCCTCTGGGAAATATGAACAATGTAGGATCCTCTTCCTTAGATTATTTTTAGTTTAGTGAGAAGACAGCCTTACACCAAAACTGAACAGGCCAAATCAATTACATTAAGTGTGCAATGGAGGTAAAGATAATATGATTAGGTATACAAAGACAGTGGTGTCAGTCAACTGCTGGTGAAAGAGATGGCATTTGGCCTCAGCCTTGAGCAATGTGGGGCCCCCAGGCTGAAGGAGCAGCTGATCTGCTATAAGTGGATATCCAGGTGGTAATGGGATGCTGAGAAGTGAGTGAGATATGAAGCTAGATTAGGGAAGGCCTTGGACACCTGGAGTTGTTAACCCACAATATATCTTACAGTGACTCTGAAACTGCAAAGGATTCTCAGATGTTCTTAAAGATGGGAACAATGTGATTTGACTTGTGCTTTTAGAACCCCGTGGCATCCAGGTGAAGAATCAGTTGATATAGAGAGAAGCTGGGATGAGAACACAGTTTTAGAGGCTCTTGAAGTTAGTCTCTCAGGGGCAGGCAGGTTGTTACCCCTCTGCAGGCAGCCTGACAACCAAGACAAAAGGAGCCTGGTCCTGGAGATGAAGGGTTAATCAATGTGGCACAAGCAAAAATGGTTGGCCACCTAGAACAGTCATCTAGCATGGAAAATTGAAGCTTCCAGGTGTGGTATCTCTTTGTTCTCACCTGGAATGTATTAATTACAGTGAAAGGGAATATACAGCATCCCTTCTCCACCTGCAGAGGAGAGGGCTGGGTCCTCCTTCCTGAAGATTATCCCTGGAAGAGAACCTATACAAGTGTGAAGTGATATCAGTGACCTTCAGTACAAGTGTGTAGGATTTTTTAAATGAAGGGTAACTTTATAAGAGATAAATCCTTGTTTGATTCCTGCTCCTGAATTTCTGGATGGATAATGCCCTTCTGAACTAGAGTTCATAGGAAATAGTGAAGCAAGTGACTTCCTTTGTTTCGAAAAGTTTTAGTAACTACATTTTTGGGCATTCCCATTTTTTGACTGTTCAGCATCCATTTCTTCACGCATATGGTGCCCCTGTTTCCTTTTGGGACTGTACCTGTTTCCTGTTGTGTAATCTTGCTGGGATTACAATTCTAACTCCCAGCTTCCTCTATGGAAGCTAGATCTCTTCTTTCTCTCTGCCATGGTAAAGGCAGAATCTGGTTACAGGGCCCAATGGAAGCCAGTCAGATACTCTCTCTGGAGACTTTCAGTTTTGAGTGAGTAAGGAGGCCAGGGTGGGGTTGTTTTGTTGCATGAATGACCAGGGCATTGCCCTGTGAGGCTGCCATTGATTTTTGTCTGGTCCTCTTGCCTTCCTGAGGATTGGGTTATTTGCTGGTAACTTGCTGTCGACTCTTCTTTGCTTCAGTTAGCTGGAGTTGATTTCTGTTGCTAGGTGCTATAGCAGATGCAGAGCCCAGTTTTAAAGGCTTACAGCCACATTTAATATTCTGTGTAAACAGAGGAGAAAGGGAGCTAGAACCAAGCCCTGTTCTGTAAGTGGCGACAGGGTACTACTCATCTGGATGCTGAGTGAAGCTATGGTCATCACTTCCATTTGTGTTGGTATGGGTGGCATGTGCTTTTAGTGGTGATTATTTCAAAACTACTTTGGAGGATTTAAATAGAAGAAAGATTGAGAGAAAAAAATGAACAGAAGCATAGAGAATTTTCATTCTTCATCTGCATCTTCTAGATGCAAGGATTGAAGGAGTCTGGTAGGCAGAGCGCTAAAGGTCCCAATGTTGGGATCACAGCATATCCTCTTAGCAAGGAGTCTAGGTTGCACCCTGAGCTGATCATTGGCATGGTCACTGGCCACATGAGCTGCTGCACACTTGTTTTCAGTGGCTTCTCTGACTAGTGTCCTCTTGAACCTGTAGCCTTGTCCGGACAATTTTTTTTTAGTATACTGAGTGCAGTTTGACATTTAAAGTGCTCTTTTGTCCTGTCTCTTTGCCTCTGACTTTTATAATATTGATTTTTTTTTGCATAAGGGAATGATTCAGATTATAATTGAGAAAAGTTCATAAAACTAGTGACAAGGAAAGGTAATGATTTTTATAACCAACTTCTGATTACAAAAGGGTTATCATTTCCCATCTAGTGCATCAGTGATGAACTGTTTTTGCCTGATTTTTTGTACCTGCTGACTGTTAAAGTCCCTATTATACAACTGGGGCAATGGCCCTGGTGTCAATTGGAGCCTATGAGAGGTATGCTTCTCTCTGAATTAGGAGAGGAAATTTGGTGTCTAAATAATTGTTTTGGAGTCCAAAACATTCTGGAGAGAAAGGAACAGAGTGGTTGTTTGGGCTGAGTTTTCTGATGGGGAGAGCATTAAAAATCCAGTAGATGGAGTAATAAGGCTTGGCAGTAGCTTCACTTTAGAGAAGAATGAGATTTATAACCTTGCCTATTGGATTCTGACACATATTAGGTATATGTGATTGCATTACATCTGATAGAAAACAAAAACTTTCATTTCTTTTTTTTTGGGGGGTGAGCAGTTTACGTGTATGTGTGTGTGTGTGTGTGTGTGTGTGTGTGTGTGTATAAATAAAATTTTTTGTGTGTGCTTGTATGTTAGGCATTGGGTTAATTTCTTGTTAAATAGAAATAAGTAAGATACAGCCCGACCACTTGAAATCTAGCTGAACAGAAGTTATACAACTAAAGATATAGTTCTACAACTAAAGAGGCTTGGAACCAGATGGTCCCATATCCTTGTGTGGCAGTTAAAAATTGGAACAGATATCTTGGCTGTGGAGGTTCCCTCTGAGGGGTGAGGGGCCTCAGACCTCCATCAAGCTCCCCAGTCCAGGATTTTGATGCCAGAAAGAGAAGTTTTCATAACTTTTGAGAGTAAAAACCAGCAGATGGATGAGTGAGAGGAAGGGCTTCTGGAGTCCCAGGCAGCTCCACTTAAGGGCCTGTGTACAGACTTACTCAGATTCACTTGCTCTGAGCTCCAGCACTGAAGCAGCAGCTTGAAAGTCAGTAGGGAAGGAACTTAATTTCTCAGGGCATTAGGGCAAGAGCTGAAGGGGCAGCTTTTCTTCAGACAGAAGTTCTGGCATAGGCCATTGTTCCTTTGCTGAACCCTAACCCTAAAGAGTCAGAAAGCATGCTCCACATCTGAGTCTTCATCAACCTGGCTAACACTGTTTGCCCTGTGCTGGTGATCTGTGACCTTGCCCCAACCCACTTTTGGGCCCACCCAAGCCATTTTCAGTAGCTTTTCCATACAAATGGCTGTCTTGGCTCATGTTTTGGACTTTTCTAAAATCTCTCAAACAAACAGCATCTGGCCTCAGCATGCCAGCCAATACCACTCGCTAAGTGGCTCCAGGTGTAGTACTAGTGGCAGTGGACCTCAGTTCACACGTTGGTCTCTCCCAGGTGCCTCCAAGCATAGCACAGATAACAGCCATCTGCAGATCACTTTGTAGCTAAAGTAGGATGCCCCCAGGCAGGGCATAGGTGGCAGGTGACCTTGGCCTATACCTCCCAAGAGGCCTTAAAACCAGCACACCCTGTGGGTAGCTTCAGACCATGTGAGAGAATCCCCCAACCACTTCCACACTAAAGTGACACACTCAAGGGGTGGACTCAGTGGGCATTGAAGCCTCACTGAAGTGAGTCTTGCTCTGTGGGGTGAACCCTTACACAGCTGATCTTACACAGTGGTCACAGCCAATCAATCTGAGGATAAATTTCTGCCATTAAGGTGCCAACAGTGATCAAGGTTCAACTACAAAAGCAGTGTGCACACAGCCTTCATGGGGGGTGTACCTGAAGTGCCTAGCTTGGGTATTGGGGAAGCTGTGCACTGGACCCTATAGGACAGTTGCTACATAAGGCCATTAGCCAGGGAGATGTAGCAACTCTGCCTAATACATAAAAACAAAAACATGGAGGTAGCCAAAATGAGAAGACAAAGAAACATGTTCTTAATGAAAGAACAGAATAAAACTCCAGAAAAAGAACTAAATAAATAGAGACAATCAATTTACTAGATGTAGAGTTCAAAACACTGGTCAAATGAACTTGGGGAAGAGTAGAAGAACTTTGTGAGAACTTCAACAAAGAGATAGGAAACAAAAAAATACAAAACAAAAAAAAGAATCAGAAATGAAATAAACATTGATTGAAATGAATACTATATTACAGAGAATCAGCAGTGGAGTAGATAAAGCTGAGGATCAAATCAGAGATTTGGAAGATAAGGAAAACACCCAATCAGAAAAAGAAAAAAGAA